AGTACAAATGAGTAACATTCTCTCCATCTGCTTTGTTTGCCAGGTCCTGGAGAAATATCCTAATACACCTATGAGCCATAAAGAAATTCTTCAAGTTATCCAGAAAGAAGGACTTAAAGAAATCAGGTGAGTTAAGTGTCCATTGCAGTAAAGGAGGATAACATCTTGGTTACAACTTAGTTTACTGTTAACTCCTTACTCGTGTGTGTCTTTGGAACTGAAATGTTAAAATACTTGTGGAACTGGAGTCTACATCCCAGTTGCTAATATATATACAAAAAAATCCCTGAAGTTGCTGGTATTTCTCACCAAGAAAGGTAGGCGAGGGCCGTAATAAACTAACAAATATGTGCTGCACCCACCTCATCTGCAGCTCTCAAATGACATGAACTGGATCTGATCAGGTAGTTCAGACTTCAGTCACATAGGTAAACTTCACTACTTGTTATGTAATCTAATTTAAAGAGCAGAGTGACTGTAGTTCAATGGAAATGACCCAAAGCAAAACTTAAAGCACTTTGGGAAATTAAAAAAAAAGAAAGCAACTTGACTTACAAATCCAAACCTAGAAGACTCTCATGCTGTTTTCTGTAGTATTGCCTGCAGTAGCTTTAGGGATCTTCATGTTCCATACAAGGAGGGAATTGAGTGTTTAGATGCCACTGATCTGCTTTACAAAGAGTAACTCAGATGACAAATCTGGACTGTATGCTGTTACCATAGTTTAATTCTTGAGTCTTTGCTTGCATAGGGCCCTGAGATACACAGGTTTATTTGCTAATATAGGCACTTGCTATGAAGTAGAAAGTATTTCTATCTTCTAAAAGTAAAGAAGAAGCAGGGAAAGAAGACAGCATGCCAGCTCATCTATTTTGGAAGGAAGCAGTCATCCTAGATTTGACTTTATTATGTCCCCTCCTCTGTGTTGCCAGCTGAATACAGCAACATATGCTTTGCAGGAAGTACAGAAGAGCCCAAGTGTAAAAATTCTGCTGATAACAAGATCTGCTCAAATTGTAGATAACAGGAATATGTTCTGTTTTCTGGAAAGAAATGTTGGTTTGCCTAACAGTAAGGAAATATCCTCATTCAGCTCTTAGGGAGGTGATGAAAATTGGGTTGAATTCCTGCCTTGGTAACGCTTTAGTAGAGTGCAGTACAACGTTTGGTTTATCAGAGGCTTACCAGCCTCCGGTCTGCTTTGATGCTGAACAAATTGTTGGTAATCTGTCAGTAGTGTACCTACAAACACTCATCACACTGCACCTTCAGTCCTTCCAAAACTGGAAATGTGCTGCTCTGTATTGGTGATCTTGCTGGTGACAGCATGAAGTTCAGCAAATGCTACAATCGTTCAGTTGGAAAAGACCTCTAAGGTTACCAAACTCCACCTTTATCCCCACCATGCCTGCTAACCATGTCCCCCAGTGCCACATCTGTACGTTTCTTAAATACCTCCAGGGATGCTATACCACTTCCCCAGGCAGCCTGTGCCAACGTATCACCACTCCTTCCTGATTTTTCCTGATATCCAACATTAGGTACTTAACAGTCATGAACCCTTCTAGCAATTCAGAATGTGGTTTTGGGCAGAGCCTTAGGGAGGAAATCTGATGTTGTGCAAACGATCCAGTCTGACAAGGCTACAGTTTGGAGTGGAAGGACAAAAAAAAGAGTGCAGAGGGTGGGGCAAAGGGCAGAAATGCCATGCACATAATCAATCTGGACCTCAGGTTCTCTTGCAATAGATGTGGAAGTTTAGTCTGACCTGATAGTAAGTTGTTTCCCCTCTCTAAAAGCTACTGACAAGTATCAGGAGACCACAGACTCCTCACAGAATCACAGAATGGCCTGGGTTGCAAAGGCCCACAGTGCTCATCCAGTTCCAACCCCCTGCTGTGTGCAGGTCACCAACCAGCAGCCTGAATGCCTGCAGGGATGGGGCATCCACAGCCTCCTTGGGCAACCTGTGCCAGTGCCTCACCACCCTCTGGGGGAAAAACTTCCTTCTAATATCCCTAATCCTCCCCTTTCTCAGTTTAAAACCGTTCTCCCTTGTCCTATCACTGTCCACCTTTGTGAACAGCCCCAATCCCAAAAGATGCTGGTAGGAGCAGTCAGATACCAAGCTCAGTTTCTCTATTTTAGCTGTCCATCCCACTGACTCATCTTCATTTGGATACCATGTAGTGGTCTTTCCTCTTAAATGTTGAAATGACAGAATAAAGTGTTGTTTAGGTTAAGACTTGAACAATTAGTAGTTCTTAAGCAATTCCATTTCAGTTTGTGCCAGTGTCCGTCTGCTGGTACCTAGACTGGGATTGTTGGGATTCTCACAAGTCATAGGTTTTGACAGATGGACTTAGCACAGATCAGCATTTGTTAAAGGAAAAATTATGTTATATGAGGTGTAAAACTTGAATCACAGGCTGGCTTGGGTTGGAAGGGATCTTGAAGATCATGTGTTTCCCTCCTCCAGCATGTCAGATGAGCTCATGTAGCTCACTAGATCCTTAGTCCTCTTTTTTTTTATGGAAGTTCTGGCAGGAAACCATGACAAAGCCTTTGAGAGCAGATTATAGCAATTTCCCCATTCTTGTTTGTCTTAAGATAGCAAGGAGCTCCAAGACTCTCAGGCTGGTAAAGCATGGTACGAGTTTGCAGCCAGGATATGGAGTCTCCTGTTCATGTGTACCAAAGTATTCAATTTTTGAGTTGTCTTTCAGTGCAAATTGTTTTCAATTAATAAAATAATTTTTTTTCTGATGGTGAACTATTTATTAGTAAAACACAGTCTCTTAAACACTGCTACTTATGACTGTAAGGCTTTTTATTTCAGCATCTATTCCTTATATTGTTAGCTATATTGTTTTGGTCTAGTGTCTGGTGACCCTGCCCATGGCATGGGGCTGGAAACTAGATGATCTTTGAAGTCCTTTTCAACCCAGGCCATTCTGTGACTCTATGAGATGCATCCTTCTCTGAATCTGCAGTTCCAGATAGGGAATAGGTTGAGAAGTGATGAGTTGTTGGGAGCCCAACTCATGTCCAGCAGTCACTTGTTTGGCTCCAGCCAGCCATCTCCCTCTGGCTTTGATTCATGTTGAGCTGCCACTTGGCAGCTGCGAGGGAAGAAGCTTCACAGCATGTTGATGCAGCTCAGAGGATGTGCTTGGTTCTGTTACAGGGAATTTGGAATTGCAGGAAAGATTGCAGGTACCAGGTGAAGTGAGTATAGAAAAAGTGGTTTATGCTGCTTTTAGAACAATTTGGCTGCATTTTTTTCTGTGTGTGTGGAAGAGGCTAGATGTTCTGTAGTAGTAGAATCAGAGAATCAGAGAATCACCGAGGTTGGAAAAGACCTAAAAGATCATCCAGTCCAACCATTCACCTATTCCCAATAGCTCCCACTAAACCATGTCACTCAACACAATACTGATACAGTACTGATACTGAACATAGTACTGCTACATTGAGTGATTCTGGCTGATTATTTTTCCTGTAGTTGTCATTTTATTCCAGTACTCAAACCAGCAATTTATTTGTGTGATTTTAAAGGTCAGCCTAGGACCAGTGCTGTCAGTTTTGGAGATGTAAGGCATCTTGAAGCCAGACCTATACTTCTCACATGATCTGTCATCCTGATTTTCTTTATTTGCCTATTTTGACAGGCCGTCTGAATCCTTTCCTACAGGTCACAGCAAAAATAAAACCCATGTGAAAAAATCCTCTTGTGAATCAGCACCATAACCATACGTGGCTCTAGGCTTTGTCCTTATGAATGAATCCCACTTGCCTTATCTCTGTTGGCAATGTAGTGTAGACAAGTCTGAGCACTTCCAGGCAAGGCTTTGAAGATGCCCAGAATCAGTGCTAACTCACAGAATGCCAGCTGTGAGCGTTCCCTAAACCTCAATACATAGGCTAGATGGCAGCAACAGAGAACCACATTTATTTGAACATGAATAGCTGTTTGGGGGGGGCAATATTACTGATTCAGTCCCCTTGGGTCTGTTGAAAGGGGTCGCTGTAAGAGCACCCAAGGAGTTAGCTTCTTTGGAGGATATCTTCCATGGTCTTTTCTCCATAGCCATGAATGTTTTGTTTCCTCAAGTATTTTCACAGAACCACCACTGTAGAACTAGTGTGTGGGGCTCAGTCCATGTATGGTAATGCTTTTGCCCAAATGCTGATTGAGTCAGTGTTTGGACAAGGAAGTATGTCTAATCTCAGTGTAAACAAAAACATGGTACTGCAGCTGCTTCTTTTGAGTATCCATTGAATTGCTTCTATGCAGAAACCCAAAAAGCTGCTAAAAGCACTTCTGGGGGGGGGGAAAAAAAAGGAAGTATAAAAGCCAAGTTTTACTTTTCTCTGGTCCCATTTAGATTAGAGGGGAGTGTGTCATTGTGGCTTGGCTTCAGGGCTTTCACCTGCCCTTCTGTGGGTGGATCATCTGCGCCTCATTGACAAGTCTCTCCTCCCAAATTCCTTGCAAGATGCTCTGCAGGTTTGGCTCCAGGCAGCCTTGGGGAGGTGATTCCCTTCCTGACAAGGGGGTGGTTGTGTGAGCGGGGCTGGAGCTGCTCAGTCTGATGTTTGTAGGAGTGAGCTGCCAGCTCTAATTTTAGACTTCCATAAGGTTTCTTTTTTTTTTCTCTCCTGTTTTTGCTAGTTGAAAATCAGAAGCTATGGTTAGGTTGTCCTCTGTGGGTTTCATGGGAATGGTGCCTCCTCCTGACTGGTAAGGAGGACAGTAATGTTGCTTGCCTTCAAAGGGAAAGAAAAGCTGGAATCACAGAATTGTAGGGGTTGGAAGGGACCTCCAGAGATCATAGAGTCCAACCTCCCTGCCAATGCAGGTTCCCTGCACCTGCTTGCACAGGTAGGCATCCAGGCAGGTCTTGAACATCTCCAGAGAAGGAGACTCCACAACCTTTCTTGGAGAGTTCTGTGCACTTCAGAGCACTGCTACCCATATTTGTGAGACTTCCCCAGCAGCCTGGGGAAGTGTGCTATGAAACGGGCATCTTGCCTGCCTGGGAAAAGATCCCCTTCCTGGTCACTCTTGGAAGAGGAGAACTCGAAAGGATGCAGATCACCAGCTCGCCAATAGAACTCATTAAAAAAGCAAGCAGAAGTCAGAATGCTGTTTGTACACCTGCAGGATGTTCTTACATCTCAGAGTAGTCAGGGTAGCACCAACGAAGCGGCTCTCCTCGTTCTTGGCAGAACACTTTGCCACTGAAACATTTCACAGCTATTCTTCAGTACTTTGTCAATTTCCTTCTGCTGCAGAGCTAAGAAATAAGGCAGGGTTGGGTGAGCTGAGAGATGTTCTCCTTCATTCTGGGGTCTTGGGGCAGTTGTTCCTTCATAGCTTGGTTCTGGGAAAGTCTTCCTCCAATGGAATTGTAGAGAGTGGAAAAGACCTCATAGACCTCCTCTTTCCAACCGCAGCCCATCCCACCATGCCTGCTGATCACATCCCTCAGTGCCACATCTCCTTACTTCTTGAACATCCCCAGGATGGTGTGAGCCCACCACCTCCCTGGGCAGCTTGTTCTAGTGCTTCCTCTGCAGAAATTTCTCCTAATATCAGACCCAAACCTCCTTGTTACAACTTGAAACCATTACCTCTCGTGCAATCCAATAATCCTTTCCTAAAACCAAACCACACAAAAGCACCCTACTACAGTTGAAGTGTGGGAAGGAACTTTGAAATGGTTGCAAGGTTCTTAAATTATTTTTGTTAAGAGCTGGACTTCTTATTGGAGCCCACTGAGGTTGAATGTGGGGACAAATTATAACAGGGAAAGGAATCTTTTTAAAAGCCCTTTGAAACTGAAACTACCCAACAACAGAAGAAATGTGCATCCTGTGTCTGGCCAATGGCCCTGCTGTTGCTGCTGGCTGGATGCACTGGCTGTGGAACTGTGTCTTGTCCTGCTGCAGAGGGAGCTTTTCCCTGCCCAGGAGGAGAGCTCTGCAAAGTTGAGCTGTTCTGAGGTTTCTTGTGGCAGTGTAAATCTTGCTTTTGAGTCCTGTGATAGTTTTAGCTCCTCAACAGCAGATGTCATAACTTGCTTCATCTGTAGGTTCTGAAGTTCTTCAGAGTTTTCTGAGGTTATCGAGTGTAGTCTGCATCCTTTGAGCCATTCCATAATGACTTTGGTCATTTTTTATTATTGCTTTTCATCTGGATCTTGTTAAAATGACCTTACAGCTGAGGAACATTTACAGCCCATTAACAGCTTGTAGACACAGTGTGTTAATGTGTAACTTTGTCATGACAGAACACCCAGCAGTTCGTTGTGTGGCTTCTTGTGGAGGAAGTAGCCAGAGAAATGGCAATTGCTGTTTCAAGTTTAGAAGTTCCTCAGCTCTAAGCTTAGAGATGTGACCATTATAGTGCGTGATGGAAACAACTAATTAACTTCTCTGGGGAGAACCAGAACACTGGGGATGTAGGTGTCTTTCTGAGCAAGCTCTCACGGAAATAACTGCTCATGTTTTCAGTTGTCAATCCACAGCTGCAGTTTGGAACAGCTGATTTTGGGAGGGACTTCTGGAGGCCATCTGGTCAGAATGAGGAATGTGACCAATTTGCATGGTGCCCTTGCCTTTGTTAATTGGCAATTATTTGGCAGCCCAACTGATTCTAAGGTGCTTGGAGCTGGAGGCAGCCTTGGGTCCCTCTGGCCCCCCACCCCAACGGAGGCACGCAGAGCAGAGCAGGGCGCCCAGCACCACAGCCAGGGGTTGGGGAGATCCCCAAAGAGGGATGCTTCAAATAACCACCAGTTTTAGGATTGTGTGACCTTTGAACAATCATCTGAGGTTGGAAGTGGCTTTTGGTTATAGATGCATCTGCCGAAGAGGTGTTACTGCAAATCTGTCTTCAACCTTGATGTCTGTAGTCTAAATGCTAAGGAAGGAAATTGCTTTGTGTTCTACTTGCTGTCTCGTTTTAATGAATATCAGCACACTGGCAACTTGAAATTTTTTTTAATATTTTGTGAGCACGTTTTTACTGATGAGCCATTAGGGAGCTCAAATTTTGACGAAGGAGATTAGCACATAATAGAGCGACTTTCACTGCACTGCTCTTAAAATGGCTGCAGGCCAATTGTCCCATTGGTGAGCTCATTTTTAGCTTTTCTTCAGTGTCCTCTGGTCTGAGCAGGTGGCTGAGAAATGCCCTGTGTACCTGAGATGAGAAAGGTCCTTGAAGCAGAGACCAGAAAGAACCTCGAAGCAGTGCATCTTCCACTTGATTCCTTGTGACAGCAGGAAGCTGGGAAACTGGAAAATAATGTGCTGAAGCTAGCAAGCTAATTTAAATTGTATTTTCCTGCTGCAGCTGAAATGGAGTGGATGAGATGGGAAGGACATACCTAGAGGGCTTCCAGACCTGCTCATAGTGACCATGCCTCACTGGTTTGTACAGCCATCTGATCTCTGCTAACCATACAGCTTCTTAAATACAAATTGTCAGCCAATTTTTCCAGTGGCAACCCATTCCTGTTGTGTGAGCACCTTCACATGCATATCTGAGGGAGCACCAGTGCGTTATTACATTGGTGGCAGCAGCTTCTGTTGTAGACTGGTCTAACAAAGCTGCTTTTCAGGAACTGCTGGTTTGTATTTCTGGTCAGTGCTGGTTTCCACTAGGTCACACTGCACAGAGCTAGATGCTGTGGAGGGAGGTGCCCAGCGCTAGACTGAGAGGCAGCAGACACAAACTGCTGGATGTGAATTCCCATGAGATAGGAAAAATGCCACTCTCGAGGTGACAGACCACTAGAGCAGGGCCAGAGAAGGCTTCTCCTTTTTTGGAGCTGCTCAGAGGGGGCTGCGCAAGGCCCTGCTGTTGGAGCTGGAGGCTGGGCTCTGATATCTGGAAGTTCCTCCCATCCCAGCTGCTCAATTCCTGGTTCCCAGCCTCATGCCCTGGAGGTGAAGTGTTTTTTGGCTTCTGTGCCCCTTGTAAGATTGAGTCATTGCAGTGCTTCAAAGACTTCCTAGGCTTAATGGAAAGGCTGGAGGTAAGGGCTGCTTCTTCTGTGTGCGACTGGAGATGCAGTGCTCCAAACGTTAGTACTAACAGCTCTCATTTTTTTTCTCCCTTTCATTGTACAAATCTTGAGCTGGCTTGGAAGGCTTTGCAAATAACTGAAATCATCAGCTGACAACTATCTAGTTACTTCACAGATTCTTTAATCCACACTTTGAGTTTAATCTTCAAGTGAGCTGAAACATCTTTAGTCTACATAGTATAGAAGTGATATACTAAGTGTGTATTGGGGAAAATAGGACAAGGGCTTGTGCAGGTTGTGCTTTAGAGCCATCAGGGTTGGGTTACCCCTGCATCTCTCTGCTGTTCCCAGTTAATTACTTCCTTTCTGATGGAAGATTCTGAAATGTCCATCAGGATTTTACTTGACCCACTGGGGTTACTGCATGCAAGACTTCTTACTCTCAGTTGGAACTGGGGGGATCTTTTCCAATGGGAAAAGGTCATTTGCTGGAGGAAGGTGCCCTCGAGATAGCATCTTAGGTGCAGGATTCTTCAGCTTTCTTCCATCCATTACTGCAAAAGTTCAAAAGAAGGTCTGGCAGAAAGAGAGCAATAAATGCTGATACAGTAAATTCTTGTGTGTTTTCCCTTTCGTTAAAAAGTTGGATTTGGCTTTTTCTGGAGAAAATAACCAACTAATCAGCTTTTTTTAAAAGAAAAAAAACAACAAAAACTGAAAGTCACCAGAACATTGCATTCTGTTTGAGGCTTTCGTGTCTCCGCAGCAAAGGGGAATTTGTATGAAGTCCCAGCTGTAAGGTACAGGCTGAAGCTGTTTGGGGCATTGTGAAGGCTGTGGTCAGTGTTGGGGGGAGGCAGTCTGTGGCTCTCAGGGAGCTTTTGGTGGTATGTGTGGCCAGGGGCTAAAGTAGGTTCCCTAGAGCAGGTCGTACAGGAAAGCATCCAGCTGGGTTTTGAGTATCTCCACAGAAGGAGGCTCTGCCACCTCTCAGGGCAGCTTCTTCCAGAGCTCTGCTGCTCTGGAAAATCTCTGTAAAGAGATCCTTTCTCATATTTGTACAGAACTCCCTGGGTTCCAGTTTGTGCCTGTTGCCCCTTGTCCTGTTGCTGGGCACCAGCAAAAAGAGCCGCATCCTCCTGACCCCCACCCTTCAGATACTGATGATCAGATCCCCTCTCTCCTTCTCTTCCCCAGGCTGAACATCCCCAGGGCTCTCACCTCTTCCCATCAGGAGATGCTGCAGGCCCCACCATCTCTGCAGCCCTTCACTGGGCTCTCTCCAGCAGTTTCCTGTCCTCCTTGAACTGGGGAGCCCAGCACTGGACACAGTGCTTCAGATGTGGCCTTTCCAGGGCAGAGCAAAGGAGAGGAGCCCTTGCCCTGCTGGCTGTGCTCAGTGCAATGTTCCCCAGGGTTCTATTGGCCTTCTTGGCCATTAGGGGCACAGTCAACCTTTGATCAACTACTGGTTGATCAGGGCACTCAGGTTCTTCACTGTAAAGCTCTTCTCCAGCAGCTCACCCCCTAACCTTACCAGTGCATGTAGTTATTTCTCCCCAGGTCTAGGACTTCACACTTCCCCTTGTTCCTCTTTGCCTAGCTCTCACCCTATCCAGGTTTCACAGGATGACAGCATGGCCTTCTGGTGTGTCAGCCACTCCTCCCAGCTTTGTATAATCAGCACGCTTGCTCAGAGTGCTCTCTGTCCCTTCATCAGTTCATTAATGACTATGTTAAAAAGGATCACACCCAGTGCTGACACCTCCTAGAACCACTCTGGGTCCAGCAAGCCCTCAGAGGGCTATTTCTTTACTTAATGAGCATTTCAACAGATGTTAAAGTAGCCACCAGTTTCTGTAGCACCCTGTATCTGTGCAGAAGGATGGAGGTGAGTTGGTAGGTGACATCAATGGCAGGTATAGGGAAAAATGTTCATTTGAAAAATAGTTTTTCAAGGGATGCTTGTGTAGAGAGATCACGTTTCTGTTAGCAGGGACTGCTAAATGCATTCATATGTTAGGGAAAAGCTCTGCTGTGTGACTGTTCATAGCATTTGTTTTGATAAAGGTATCAAATCCCTGATTAACCACATCTTCCACTTCTGCTACTACTGCAGTCTCGGGAAGAGAGTTGTTGCTGCTTCCTTAAAATGAAATTACCTATGCTTTCCCATGATGGCATATATTCCCTAGTGCAAGGGGAAGTGCAGGGTGTAATTGTGCAGGGATGAATGCTGCAGGAATTCAGCAGGTTGGCTTTTTTTTTCTGAAAAACACTGGAGTGAGATCTCAGAAGACAGATAGAAGTAGGATTTATTTTTGGTTGGGAACAGCTGATAGTTCTGTAGCAGAAATGGGGGGGGCATGCCAAAGATTTGGAAGTCTCAATTCTGTGTCTCAAAAACCCCAGAGGGTGGTTTTGTCTGGTTTCTTCCTTTCAGATCAGAAAACACTAAGCCTTTCTGCATAGGCCCTAAAGGGTGAGTGAGAGCAGCACACAAACAAGTACCTTACATATAGACACTGTGTTTAGGTGAGGCTGTGTCAGTGCTGTGAACTTAAAGCTTTTTGTCTGCAAACAGTATTTAAGAAAATCAGTGAGCTTCTGCAGGGCTTCTTGTTCTTATTCTGGACTCAGCAGAGGATATTGGAATGTCCTTGTGTTCCCATGGGTCACATTCAGTTGTCATGCCAGACTTAATAGGCCATTAATTAAAGCTGTAAGTAAACTCCAAATTTGTTGTGGGCTGAAGAGCTTTTTAGCATCCTCTGAGCCGATCCTGCCCTAAGGGTTTACAGTGCCCTGTACTGCACTGTGGTAGAGGTGCAGGTCCATATAGGCACTGCCTGTGTTGCTGGAGCAATGGTTTGGTCTTAGAATCATGAAGGTTGGAAGAGATCTTGAAAAATCATCGAGTCCAAATGTCAGCCCATCCCCACCACGTCCCCAGTGCCACATCCCCTCAGTTCTCAAACACCTCCCTGGGCAGCTGTGCCAATGCATCACCACTCTTTCGCTGAATAAATATTTCCTAATAGTGTCTTGCACAAATTCACAGGAATTTTAAGTGTTGATGATTTAAAATTAACTTTCTAGCATGAAAAGCTTCTACTCCCACCAAAAAAAGCCCTCCAAAGCCATACTGGCATCTCTTGTCTGGATTTGTAGAAAATAAACTGAGAAGCCCAACAGATACACATTTCTTTCTCTGCTGGTGTTGCTGATATAACCTAGTCTTACTGTTACTGCAGATCTGCCCAGAACTTTTTAAAAACAAATAAAAATTGTTTCTGGTGGATGGGGAGGAGGGTTCATGTTAATGCTTAGAAATTGTTTTGCTGAAGTTTTTAAAGGGGTGTTTCTCTCCTTTTTTTGGGTTGCACTCCAACTCCAGAAGGTAAGAACCACTGCTGATTGTTGTGAAGCCGTTCTGTTTTAACACAAGCTGCACAAGCCTTAATTGAAGAGCCCTGCTTGTTTCACGTGGGCATAAAAACAAAGTTAAAGCAGTATAATTAGTGTCAATGCTTGTTGCACTAACCTGCCTTTGCATTTGTGTTTGACTATAATGCAAACATGAAGCCTGCTTGCAAGTTGTGGCGGTGTCAGGCTAACAGCACGGAATGCTCAGTGTCTCACCAAATTAACATCGCTGTGCAGTCTTGGGTTTGCACTTGGTTCGCATGATGGCTTTGTGCATCTTTGTCTGTGTGTAGAATCTGCTCTATTCATAGAAGGAGCTGCTTCTGAATCTTAAATTTGTTTTAACAAGCTTTGAGTTGGTGCTGTGGCATCTGCTTACCATCCATGCCTCTCTGCTGTGGCGCTTGATCTGAATCGATTGGGTCTTAAAGCCTATTTTAATTTGCTAATGAACCAAAAGCTTTTTGTGTGAATGTCTGATTCAGAGGGAATGGGGGGGAGAAAGGGATGCTCAAATATGGGGAAATCCCTCACCCTTAAACGCAGCTGGATCCGTTGGGGCCTTTTTGTCAAGTTCCATGAATTGCAGTGAAGATGTGAAAGGTGGATGCTCACTGCTGGATGCACTTTGTACAAACTTCCATTTACAGCAAAACAGTCATTAACTCTTCTGCAGAACCCCGAGCTGTGCAGAGATGGGTTCTGAGCAGCATTTCTGTGCCAAGCACCAGTGCACATCCTGCCTGCAGGACCTGCTGGAGCTGTGGTGGTTCTGCTCCAAGGCAGGGAGTTGCTGGCCGTGTGCTCTGCTAACAAATGACTACTGGAGCTTTAATATAAAGGAGCCTTCTGAAGGATAAGTATGCCTTGTATCGTGTTCTGAGTGCAAGTTTGAGTTCCAGCACTGCAGAGATGAGAACTCTGTGGTGTCAGGCCAGCATCCCATCACAGGTGGCTGTACAAAAATGATTCTGTCACACTTTGTTTTCGAATCAGAACAGATCTGCTCAGTCCCTGAGGTCTCAGGGCAGGGCTGGTTGGGAAGGGCTCAGTGGTGGAATTGGCAAACCTGGAAAGAAGTGTTACACATCTTTTTTCCCACTGAGCATGTTCACCATAGAGCTATCTCACCCTTACCTGATGCACATTCACCATTTTCAAGCTCCTTTTTCTCCTGTTCAGTCTGAAGAAGCTTTGAATTTAACATGGAATGTAAGAGGCCGTGATTTAATGAAGGCTGAAATTTGACATTTCTCAGAAAGGGAGCTTGGTATGTATGCATCTGCTGGGAAGTAGCTTAGAGAAACACTCTGAGGGGTGAGAGCTTCAAGTGTGCATTTCTTATGCTGTTGGTCTCATAGCTAGCTGCCTTCATGCTATCACAGTGTCAAGCAGTGCTGACTACAGCAATAGTGGGGGAGTGGTTGGGAATGAGGTGACAGAGCAGACACCTTCCAGGTCATTAAAACAGCACAGTGTAGATGGAATGGTTGTAAAGAGTCATGGAGGACCACCCCTTCGGCCAGCTATAAGCACTGCACTTAGATGCACAGCTAACAGGTCAGTGCCTACTCTGGTAATGCAGAGTTCAAGAGTGTGTGTGTGTGCTCAGCTCTCACTGTGCTGGGTGGTCACCTGGTGAGTATAGGTGAGTGCTTGCTTGTATGCTGAGGCAGCACCTGTGACTGCAAGGGTTCCTGATGGTGCACTGAAACATGCCTTTTGCCTTTCGTAGAGGTAGCTTTGGGTGGGTGGATGTGCAACTCCCTACTGCTTTCCAAGCTGAAATGCACTGCAGAAGAAAAAACAAAACAAAACTTTCAGTTGCATGCCATAAAACTTTCTTAAGTTTGTACCTGCTTCTGTTGAACAGTTGGCATCACGCACCAGATCAGTTCCATTTGCAAACATTCTTACCAAAGAAAAGGTCATTTTGATTCATGAGCTGGCACAGGTTGCCCAGAGGGTTGATGGATGCCCCATCCCCTCAGACACCCAAGGCTAGGCTGGATGGAGCTCTGAGCACTGATGGAGCTGTAGGTGTCCCTGTTCATTGCAGGCAATTGGTCCAGGTGGCCTTTGAAGGTCCCTTCCAACTCAATTATACGATTCTAAAGGCTGAGTTCTGCTTTGAGGCCTATGAAGTACCTTGCACATTACCAGGACCTCGTGGTCAGGGTGCCCAGCCAACCACGGCCCCAAATGGCAGCAATGCAGGTGTGGGTGACATCCCATAGTTGTTAATGGCACATCTGAAGCGTGCAGGAACCCTTCTTTCCCTTCATGTGCTTCTACCTGCTGGCTTTGGGGTGCAGCAATGGGAGCAGGTGGTAATGGCCTTAAGTTGTGCTGATGTGCTGGAGATGTGTTTTCCAGATGGGAGGTTTGGGTGTCCCAGCAGGATCTGTGTCTGCTGGTGTGGGACCCGAGTATGGCTGTGGCAGGAAGGGCTCAAAGCCACGAGGGGGATGTGAACCTCATAGCCAGACTGAACCCAGCTTTCTGAAAGCTACGTGAGATTTATTGAGTGGATTTTAACCTGTAAAATTTTCAGTTAGGCGTGTGAAAGGTTAGAATGGTGTTATCTTTGTGCCATTTTCTAAGGAGCCTATGGAGGAAGGCAGGTAACGATAGGTGAATGTGAGAAGAAACTAAAGCAGAAATAATGGGTAAGCTGTTAAACAGTGGAGTTAAGATCATGGAATCGTAGAACCCATCACCACTGTTACACATCCCTCAGTGCCACATCTCCATGTCTCAAACATTTCCAGGGATGGTGACCTCACCACCTCCCTGGGCAGCCTGTGCCACTGCATCACCTCTCTTTTGGAGAAAGAATGTTTCCTAATATCCAGCCTGAACATCCCATGTGCAACTTGAGGACATCACACCTCATTCTATCACTAGTTATCTGAGTAGTATGAATGACAGACTGTTCCAACCTTTGTAAAGCTTGGTCATGCCCAAACTTGGTTCTTTGTTGAGCTTTCAGAGCATGGCTTTACCTAGGTTCTTGTGAAATGCCTGGCTTAGCTCTGATCTGCTGTCCTGATCAAGTTTTTAGGAGGAATGAGCTCACGGTCAGGTATGTGGTGAGCTTCTTGCATGCAGTTAAGTGCAGAAATGGGTTTTGCATAAAGAAGGGAAAGGTTCTGTGCTGGAAAGCAACACCTTTGAAAAGAATATGGGGCTGCTGTAGGAAACAGTACTGGGTTGTAGCTTTCAGGGTGACCCTGTAGCTTTCAAGAGGTGAGGAATAGGATTGCAAAGCATCTGCCTGGCTGTAGTGAAGTCAGCCTAATGTGCAGTAATGCTGCTGGTTCTGGGCACTGGCAGAATGGAAGCAGAGCTCAGGACTGGGCTTGGTGTGGGATGATGTTCTCAGTGTAAATGTGCTCAGGAGAAACTTCTATCCAGGGATGGAGTTGTCTGGAGGTGAGCACAAGCTCTCAGCAGAGGTGCCAGTGTTCTGACCCTCAGCTGTCTGTCTGCATCAGCCACGGCAGACATTAGGAGGGGGGGAGCTGGGTGAAACTCAGTTCTGCCATGTAAGAAGAGCATGGAATTCTAATGCTCTCTGCAGTTAGCTTGCAACAGATCTGCTCTGAGTTTCAGAGATGCAACTTTTTGCACTTGGAGCTGTACGAATAAGTGTCCATTTTGACGTTCTGCAAAGAAGAGGTGGAGGGCCTGAGCACGGGGGCTTCTTGTGTGCTTCTTTTCCTGGAACTGGAGCATGGCTACGTCAGGCTGGTTTCACCATTGCTTGTTGTGGCTGATTCAGCTCGTATCAGTGGGAATGCCCGTTGGGTCTGTGCTCTGTGCATGCTTGGTCCTTGGGTGAGGGGTTGTGACTCCCAGCAGAAGATGAAATCTGTCCATACAAATGCAAAAAATTAATGCTGTGCTTTTATTTTCAGTGGGACTTCTCCTCTTGCATGCCTGAATGCTATGTTACATACGAACTCCCGAGGGGAAGAGGGCATTTTCTATAAGGTCCCAGGGCGGATGGGAGTGTACACTCTGAAGGTAAGTTTCTCAGCTGGGCAGTCTTGTTTGAGTGCTCAGTGGCTTTTGTTCCTTTACAGATATTTTGCACTAGGGTAAATCCAGTGTAGGGAAGAGGGAGCTGTTCCTCACTAGCGTGGATTGTAGTGTGAGCTGTACCTCCAAACACAAACACTGAACTCCTCATTCTTGCTGGTGATCATCTGCGTGCAGAAAATAGAACCAAAACATTGCTGGGATTTTTCACAGAGGTGTAGATTGCTGGTATTAATTATCATCCAGAAATGAAATTGTAATAAAATTGCAACCACAGAAAAGTAACGTTATCACCATTGAACTCATATCTGGAAGAGAAATAGCCCCTTATCCTTAATCTATTAATAGCAGACAGGAAGTATTTCTAGGAAAAAGGTGTAGAATCCTTTGTGTAGCTGATTTGTTCTTCTAAAAACAATCTCTGTTTGTGGTTTCTTTTCCCCACTTACACTACTCAGATGAGGCCTGCTCTCACTGTTCTTGGTTTTCTATGTACTTGAAACTGGTGACTTTGCCATAAGATTCCTCTCGCTAATGTAGATCTCTGCAGTGTTGGTTGTGTCTGCTGTAGCCACGCTCTTCTTCTCAGTCCATGCTCCAGAGAGAGCAGTAGTAGCTTCTGAGGTAATGTTTGGCTTATCCTGTAATATTTAAATCATTTGAATTGGAAAAGGTCTCTAAGATGGTGTAGTCCAACCTGTCACCACCAGGCCCACTAAACCATGTACTGAAATGCCACAGAATCACAGGATGGCCAGGGTTGGAAGGGACCTCAAGGATCATGAATCTCCAACTCCCCTGCCACATACAGGGCCACCAACCTCCACGTTTAATGCTAAACCAGGCTGCCCAGGGCCCCATCCAACCTGGCCTTGAACACCTCCAAGGACGGGGCATCACAGCCTCTCTGGGCAGCTCGTTCCAGTACCTCACCACTCTCTGGGTAGAGAATTTCCCCCTGATGTCCGATCTAAATCTCCCCCCCCTCAACTTAAAACCATTTCCCCTTGTCCTACACATATCAGCCCTTTCAAAGAGTTGATGCCACATCTCCATGTTTCTTTTTCTTGGAAATCCAGACCAAGGCAGACGAGTGTTCCTCCATTTTCCCATCTTATTACTTGTTACAGGTGCTGGAGCATCCTGCTGTTCCCCCAGTTAGTGGCTGGAGCCTTCTGGTGATTGGCAGTGCCCTGTACCTCTGTCCATTTGGCTCATGTCCCCGTGTGCTTGTATTTATTGCTTCCCCTGTACTTATTATCCCCTTTGCAGCAGAAAGGCTCACAACTAGATTTCCTGTTCACCGGTAGCCTGAAAGATTCCAGTCTGTAGGAATATTTCTAACCTGATGTTTGGAGAAGTCCATCAAGCTCACCACAGGTGATAAAACAGAGCACATCATCTTGCAGAAGTATTTATAGGAGTGCTAGCTGGAAAACCAGATTTTATTTGATTATTCCATATGGTTCCCTAAATGGAGGAAGCTTAATTATTGAAAGAAGATCAGTTATAAAGAGAAGATGTTTCTGTAGTTTGGAGTACACTTCTGCTTTGAAAACAGGACGTGCAATAGGGAGAGGTAAAGGTGCCTAAAGGAATTTGTGTTAATGAAGATCGCGCATTGACATCGTCCTTGGAGCACAGTTATGGAGAGCAGCACAGGGAGCAGGGATTGTTTTCTCTGGAGCAGAAGGAGGCTTGGGGGAGACCATCGCTCCCTACAACTACCTGAAGGGAGGTTGTAGTAAGGTGAGGTTGGCCTTTTGTCCCGCATAACAGAGAGAAGGATGAGAGGTGTTGGCCTCATGTTGCACACGGGGACATTCAGGTTGAATTTTAGGAAACGTCTCTCCTTCAGAAGAGTGGTGGTGAGGCATTACAACAGGCTGCCCAGGGGGTGGTGGGATCACCATCCCTGGAGGTGTTCAGCATTCGTGGCGCTGAGGGATGTGGTCAGCGGCGGTGGGTTTGCAGTTGGACTAAATGATCTTTTCCAGCCTTAATGATTCTGTGGTTCTGGGAGATTTTGAGAGGCCAGATGGTCAATGCAGACAAGGCATGGCGATAGAAGGTCTTGAGGAAGGGGCAGAGCTGGAAGGAGAGCACTGCAAGTTGTCTGCAGGTGCTGGGAAGGACCCTTGGAGAGTCCAACCTCCTGTCAAAGCAAGGTCAGCTGTGGCACATCACTGAGGAGACATCCTGAAGCAGTCTGAAATAAGGGACTGTATAATTGCTGTGTGCCAAGCGAGTAACATTATCTCTGCAAAAGTCACGCTATAAAAAAGGTTGAATAAAGGAAAGGTGAGCATTAGGAGTACACAAGTGTCGTCTTCACCAGCTTAAGTGACACTTGGTATAAATAGATTTTTCCGTGCTTCTCATTATGCTTTCTCTTCCCTCGTGACTTGCAAGTAATTTTTTATGTGCAGTGCAGTTTGTGCAGTGAGGGATGAAAATATTCAATATCTGACCCAGTTAGTAGTCACCTGGCTGGTGGAAAAAAGTCTGGAATTATTGAAATTGGTGAAATCAGTGTCATCTGAATTACGTTTTGGACCTACAAGCAAAGACCAGTCACAGCTGTAACTTCAGAGAAAAGACACAGTTGTCTTCAGGAGAAGGGAGAGATTGCACATCAGTGCCCAGCTGATGGCTGACAAAAGGATGCCCACACACACACCTAATTTGTGCAGCTGTCCTGAGCCCTTTGTTGCTTGTACAGTAATCGTGTTGCAGCTATGTATCTAAGAAAGAAAGCAGAGCTGCAATTCCTGCAGAATTCTTCCTTGCAGAAGTCAAGGCGTTGTTGCTAATTAGCACTAATACGACAGTGCAGGTTAAAATCTGAGTGGTGGTGATCGCTAGAGGGCAGCCTGGGCTTAGATGTGGACAGGCAGCAAGGGCTGGCTGTTACCAGCCTGAAACGTTAGGTGTGAGAATGGTGGACCTGCAGTGCCTTACAGAGTGTTGTAGTGCACTGAAGGTCACTGTGGCGTGTTACAGTGTGTTGTAGTGCATTATAGATGGTGACTGGGGATAGGCAACTATAGGGGGTGTGCAGGGAGGGAGATGTGAGATGGTGACAGGGAAGTGTGAGAGCCACACCAGCAGGCACGTGTTTTATGTGGGCTAGCAGAAAGCACAGGCCTGAAGCTGAGCTCTTCTGACACGTCTCTGCAGGATAAAAAGTCAACGACAGGCACTGGCTAAATGAAGGAAAATGCAACTTAAAAATATTTTATTAAGTGAGGAATTTCTTGCTACGTGGGCTTACTGACCTGTTGGCTCCGTTTGCAGAAGGACGTTCCGGATGGGCTGAAGGAGCTCTCAGATGGCTCGGAGGAAAGCAGCGACGCGCAGTCCGACTCACAGAGCTCTGAGAACAGCAGCAGCAGCAGCAGCAGTGATGGGTGCACGAACAAGGATGGGAAGAAAAGCAGGTGGAAAAGGAAAGGTAATTTTCCTGCTCAGGAGAGATGATAACATGTTTTCTGTGAAGGATTTTCAGCTTTTTGCTGATCCCATCTGTTGCCATATAGGGACAGGACCTTACAGGAGCCCAAAGTCTAGTTTACAGCTTATGCTGCTGACTTGAATTTACATCATAAGTGCAGCATAACTTGAAACAAAAAAAAAAGTATTTGCAATTAAATGTGTGTGTATCCTTGATACAAGCATACTGTGCTTCAGATCTAGGAACAGCAGCATTGGTTTTTTACAGGTTTTCTCTTTATCCTGGGCCTTATATTGAACCCTGTATAATGAGCCCTAGGCCTAACTCTAACCCTTCTTTCCTGAAACCACTGCACCTTCTGGTTGTGGCCTCTCTCAGTGATATTGCACGTAGCACTGACTAGGAGTGAGCACCGAAGCTCTGCGATTACAGCTTGTTATGGAGACTGATGGGGCTGTGGGACTGGGCTCCATTTCCCTGCTTTGGACTTCTTTCCCTCACAGACTCAGCAATATTTAGGTATTGTGTACAGTTGAGTATTTAAACTTGCTTTCAAGCATCAGTCACTTTTAAATAATACAGGAAAGTTCAGCAACGTTTCAAGAGTACCTAAATTCTGAATGTTCTGCAGAAGAATATCTTTGGTGTTTTGGGGGATCAAGCAAAGGAAATAATGCATTCCATTCCCTTTTCAATCCTGGTATCTTGCCACAGTGTCTGACTGGAGGCTGTCAGTAGTTGCATCATGTATTAGTAACACATTGCAGTTTCCTTTGCCCACGTCTAATTCCAGAACCCATTCATTTGATCAGTGTCTGAATCTTCATTCCTCCTTCAGAATTCTGGTCAAGTATCTGTTTAAGTGCTGAATTAATTAAAAAAAATACGTGTATGTAATAAAATTTGAGGATGCAATATACATTTACTAGAAATCCTTTGCTCTTTCTTGTAAGCAGAGGTTGCACCTTTCTCTTGTGGGTATTCCTGTGTCTTTCAGTGTCGCTGCTGCTGTTACAGCTGCTTTACCTTTAATCTGATCCTTTCTCTTTCTACTCAGTCATGCACAGAATTTCTTGGCTGAAATGCAACAAAATGAAAAGCTTATTTCCATTGCAGTGGTGGAGGCATGTAAGCAGTTTTCTGACACTACTGGAGCCATGCAAAAGAGCATTTAGGTCAGCTGGGGTTGTGTGGACTCAACCGTGTGTGGGGTTTTCCATGTAGTGCAAGTAAACAAAACCAAAGGAAACTGTTAGATAGAATTGTGAGCATTTAAAACACTACAAAAATAGGCATTGTTAAAAGCTTAGAAGTAAGACTTGACTCCAAATTAATCCTTTGAAAGAGAAAGTGTGAGTAGTGTGGCTAAAATACTTTCATTCCTAACAAAGCCTCGGAATGGGGCGTTATGTAAAAAACTTGCAAGGAAGTGCAAAAATCTTAGAGAGGTTGTTTGCCTAGCAATGTGTGCATGGCTTTTGTGTAAAAGTTCTACATATGGTGCTACTGCTGTCAGAGCAAACAGAACCCTGCGTGGTTTGGGAACCAGAGAAAGAAGGAAGGGAATCTGTAGGCTGAAAGAGGTGGCAAAAGTTACCCAGAGCTCAAAAGCAGAAGGTTTGAAGTTAGCAGTTCCAGTACAAATAAAAAAGGGAATTTTGCACTTCTTTTGTGGCTGATTCTTCTTCTTTCTAGGAATCACAGTGCTTTAATGCACTCGAAGCCAACTTCATTATTAAAAGTGTGGCTGTGGTCGGTGGTGTCACCGATTATTTTCCTTCTGTTCCCCTGAGGTTTGTTTTCCTTTGTTTGAGCAGCTCTTAATTGCTAATGAACTCACCTCTTAGTGTCACACAAAGGCATTCACGGGTTTCTGAGCGGAAATGGTGTTCTCCTTGAGCTTCCCTTTAAGAAAATCTCAGTACACCACTGTGCTGGAGCAGGGAGGGCATTTCTGTGCAATGAATTGTTGGCGCTGCAGATGTGTGGAGTTGCTGCCAGGCCCAGCAGAGCTCGGTGCAGCCTGAGTTGCCCCTGTGCCAGCAGGGCACTGCAAGAGTGGAAATGGAAGCACAGTCTCTGTATTTGCAGCTCGATGTAAGTCCTGTGAATCCTGCTCTGGCTGAAAGTGCTGGAGCTCTGTGTAGGGAACAGGTGGGAAAGCAATATGAGGCAGTACATCATAGAATTACAGAATGGTTGGGTTGGAAGGGACCTTAAAGACCATTCAGGTGCAGCCCCTGCTGTGGGCTGGCTTCTGCCCATGACCCCCTCCAGCCTGACCTTGGGCTCCTCCAGGGATGAAGCGATTCACAGCCGTACATGTACCTCACATTGCCCCAAACCAAGTGCAGCACCTTGCACTTGGCCTTGTTGAGCCTTGTGGGCTCCTATGGGCCCTATTATCAGGACTGTCTAGGTCAGATTGGATATTAAGAAATAGTTTTCTCTGAAAGAGCAGTGCTGCAGTGGCACAGCTGCCCGGGGAGGTGGTGGGGTCACCTTCTGGAGGTGTTCCAGAGCCGTGGGGATGTGGCACTGAGGGATGTGCTCATTGAGCATGTTGGGCTGGGCTGGGGTTGGACTTGGGGATCTCAGAGGTCTTTTCCAACCTGAACGATTCCACGATTCAGTGCTGTTGGGGTTACATGTCAGCGAGCCTGGAATCCATTCCTTAACAGCAAAGTACATTTCCGAGCTCATCGTGTGGGGCTGCGTTCTTCCCTTTGGCCCTTAGGTTGCCTTTAATCCTTTCAGAATTCTCCCTCATTTCACTGCCTCTTCCCACGGTGCTCTGAGCTCCTTTTGCAGTTCTCTGCAGTTCAGTCTGTGCTGCAGAAGAACATTTTATGCCAACAAGCTGTGTGTGCCCAATTTTCATGTTGTGTATGTTGAACGGTGTGGGTTGGGCATGCTTCCTCAGGCACCCTGCAGTAATCCCCCTCACTCTGGTGCTAAACCAGACAAGCATATTTCAAACTCTGGAGTCACATTTGATAAACATTTTCTCCAGGAAGCTATTATGGTTAATTTAAGTGATGTCTTTGCCATTGGCTTTTGCTTTGCCCTTTTAGATGCACTGCTTAATTTCTTTGTAGGTCGTTTCCGTGTTTCAGTGTGGTTCCCCTTTTTATGAAGCTTAATATTACTGTGCCATGGTGCGTGAAATTCTTACAGAGATTTCTCTCTGAAGATTTTCTTCATTAAAACACAAAACCCTGCACTTCTCTCAACCAGAAGTCAGAAATTCCATACAAAAATAACATTTTTTGAGCTTATGTTGCACAAAAGAACATTTGAAGTCATAAACAAGTTCCCTGCTACTTTCTTCTTTCAAAGGTTTTTTTTTTTATGAGAGTGTGGGCTCTTAGTAAGCTCCCTCTTATGACACAGTGTGAGCACAGATTCATATTGCCTGGCCACATGTTATTCCTCTGTTCCTCTGCACAAGGACAAATGCAGCCATCCTGACAAATTTACCATTTTTGGTGACTTTTTGACCTACTGTGTCAGTGACAAGCAGTAAGAAGTCAGCAACCACAATGGGGGCTTCCCCTGGGCACTTCTGGCTTTGCTGATGACCTCTGTAACTTTGTTTTGCAGGGCATGTTTACTTTCTCTATGATCTCCCTCTACTCTCTCTCGTCTCATTGCAGCTGTGCGTCAACATGGCCCTGCTCCTTTGGATGCTCTCAGACACTGCAGGGGTCCTTGTTCATAGAATCCCAGAACCATTCAGGTTGGCAAAGAGCTCCAAAATCCTCTAGTCCAACCCCAACCCATCCCACCATGCCCACTGTGTCCCTCAGTGCCACATCCCCATGGTTCTGGAACACCTCCAGGTTTGCTGACCCCACCACCTCCCTGGGCAGCTGTGCCACTGCATCACCACTCCTTCAGAAAAGAAATGTTTCCTATTATTCAACCTGACAGCTCTTCCATGAGACCTCCAGTAGATGTTATCGGTCTGTGTCAGTCTGTGTGTTTCATGGGGGGCTTTAGAAACATGTAGTGATGGTCCAAAAAACAAAGATAACTTCATTACGAATGGTATCTTTCAAAATACAAACCGTCAGAACGTAGACCAGCTTTCCACCCACCCCAGAATTTCAGCTGTTTTTCCTTCCAGGATGTGAGGGGAAGCTGGGATGCTGTGTATGCCATGCAGTGGTGGTCAAAGCGAGGTCTGGGTCTGGATGCACCTTTGATGCTTTGTGGTTTAGGTTTGGAAACAAGGCTTGGGCAGCCTGGTCTTGTATTAATGTGGAGGTTGGTGGCCCTGCCTGCAGTGGGGGGGTTGGAGCTTTGTGATCCTTGAAGTCCCTTCCAACCCAAGCTCTTCTGATGATTCTTATACTCTTGGTGTTGTTTTATTCCATAGCTTTGAGCTCATAGGTTTCACCTTCTGCATGCATCTGGAAGACTTTTTTCTTTCAGCTTCATTTAGCAAAGCCTGCAGTTTAATTGTACTGCTATAATATCCAAGAGGTAGAGTGGAAGAATTTCTGCACAGAAGCAAGTTTTTACTCATACATTTGTTTGCTCTGCTTTGAAATAACCAAAAAGACATTAAATTCCAATTAGGTTCTCATCACGTTTTGTTCCGCAGCGTCAGCTCTGGAACACAGCACTCCTACACAGCCGCTTCCTGGATGCTTACATGAAACACTTGGAGGGCTCCTTCCTGGTTTAAAAAACCAAACTGATAGCCCAAATTCAGACAGAGTGCTCTGGTGGCATTGCCTGGCTGCTTTATTACCTGTGCAGTAGTTGAGGTATGCTGAGCCCTTTGCGATTGGAAGCATCCCAGAACCTCATTAGGAAGAGCTGCTCATGCAGCTTATTGCATGGGGAGGAGGGCTGTTGTTGGGAGGACACAGATCTCTGATGGGAATCAGTGAAGTGAGTGCAAACCGTGGCAGACAGCGAGCAGCTGAGGTGTGCTCCCATCATCGCGTTTTGCTCGGAGGCTCCGACCTGAGCTCTCTGAAACTGCGGCT